CGCCGGTTAGCATGCGGGAAGGGCACGCGGCGGCGCAACCACGGGATGAGGGCGGGGGCGGGGGCGGGGGCGCGGGAGAACTCACCATTTTGCCGCCCTGGTGGCGGGCGTGTGTTGTGTGCGCGCGTGGGAGGGTGGGAGGGGAGAGAGAGAGGAGAGAGGGTGGTGACTGGTGACGTGAGGGGTTTGGTATGGGAGGGGTACTTGTAGAGGACGGGGCAGTGGCTCCAGCCCCGAGGCGTGGACAAGAAGACACGGGAGGGGTTCACCTTTTCACTTGTGACAGCTGGAAAAGTCTCGCTCTGTTTGAATTGTGGAGCGCTTTAAATTTCGATGTTTTTTTATGCATTGAATTTAAGGGCATTTCATCCGTGGCGGATCGTAGACATGGATGCGCGAGCCAGTCATTCAAAACTATCAATACTAGTATCTGCTAGTAAATAAATTTAAAATTTAAATCCGTCGATCAGAAAGCGTGCGTCGAATCTCACAGCATCGCCGGATTACACCGTCGTTCGATTACAATAAAAAGAGATGAGTATGACATGCTACGCATCAGCCGGCGAATAAGTAGAAAACATCCGCCACGTAACTGGTCGTTGGATGGGCACAAGAATGGCCATCCGATCTACTCATCCACGTGTGTAACCTTCCTTGCAACAAGAACGGGGTTGCAGAAACATTTATAACAATAGCAGTCTGATCTACCATCATAGCTAGTTGAGGACCTTTGCAACAACTACCTTGTTGCGCTTAGAGCATCTACAAGCGGATCTCTCAAACCCGCCTTATACGTCTGGGCGGACCGCCATGTCACTGGTCGGTCACGATTTTTTGACCTAGATGGGCCTCTCAAACGGCCCTCAAATGGCCAGGCTGACCGGCACCCCCCTCAACTGTTTCTGTTGTTTTGTCTCATCGTAAACAATTTGTATGGATTAATTGTAAGTCACGATTCGCATAAGCAACTCTAATCTGAATCGTGCTTGATGGACCCATCATCGCACATAGTTTGTTTTATTGATGACGGTTTTATTACCATACGGTTTGCTATTCATGCATCGCACATAATTTGGTTGATTAGTCTCCTATACATGTGTCGTCTTAGGACCTTTATGCAGTAGTGCATGATCTAAGGAAATAAAGCATATGTTAGCTCTATGTGTTATAACGATTGACTTGTGACAATAATATCTCAAAATATAACAAATACGTTGGGTCAATTCAATATGACCGTTCTTCCAACGTCATATTCATTATTTTTTGGGACCATCGTAGACTTAACGATACCCCAAGAGCCAGAAAATGTGATCACATATAACACTTGAGCTATTTCTAGAGGCAAGACTAGGAATCAGGTTTTACCGTTTATCATTTCACACGTGCATATGAGATTTCCACAAATGACATATAACAAGATCACAACAATTATAGCATAGAATATAAACTCTTAACTATAAAATTGGAAAAAATAATACAATATTATTGCCTCCAGGGCATATTTCGAACAAAAGTTAAGCGGACTATTTGAAGGATTTTCTCCTCAACCTTATACAAATGATTATGTTCATACTGCGTTTCTATTTGCCTTGATGATGATCATTGCACATAGCTTTCGCTAGTGGTTTATTTTTTATTATATGAGACTTTGTTTGTGAAGGATTTCTTTCCTCAACTGTTCGCAGACGTGCAAAGACCAGCTACAACCAAAAGTTAAGCAATATGTGTTTTCTGTACTCCTTGATTTTATACGGGGCGATGCACGAGTAGGTGGTTGCGAAAGGGTCTGCTCGTTACAATCATGTGTTCGAGTAGGAACATTTGGCTTGTTGGTCTTGCCTCTAGGCACAACCACGTGATGATCATGGAGTCCGCCATTCATAGATCTCACTTGGATATCCCTCTCATAGGACGAGTGGTAATGGGCCTGACACGTAGGTGGTGTCTTGCGCGCACGGTACAGATGGTTGGTTTGTTGGTCGGTCATTGTGTTCGGGTGCGCTAGATATCTTGATCCGATGTCTAGTCGGACAGGGTGCCTTAGGACGTCTTCCCACATTTTCAAAACCAACCCCGTGAAGTAATCAATACCAATGAGGCAGAGATGAACTCATACCTGCCTCCATTAGTTCGTTGCTTTACTAACGTCGTGCATGGAGTTTAAATGGAGAGAGGATAATTAAAGAAGTCGACACCACTCTATTAGTTACATGAGATAATGATAGCTGATGCCAAACATACTTACACTCTCGATTATGGGTAGGCTACTCTTGATGTTGGTTTAGCCATGAATGTGCGCCAAGTATACGAATAGATTGGAGTGTAAGGATACCTTTAGAAAAATGATCGTTGCGCCATTGGCGCACACACCAACTGCAATCTGTAAGCTAAGCAAACTATTAGAAACATAAAATGGGGCTAAGTGAGGTATCTGAAGAATGTTTCTTGTAAATGGTCTACAACTAATTATGTTCATAATGCGTTTGTATCTTGTCATGTATATCTACCAATGGCAGACAACGAAGATCGTTGCCCATGTCCTTATTTGTCTGGGCAGCGAAACTCAAAAGCCACACACTAACATGCGGGTCTGTGACGAGCTTGGCT